GAAAATTGAGTGCTGCTACATGCTTTCTGTATTATAGTACCTCACTGTCCACACTGAGATCATTTTGATGGGAACCTCTCCCACCTTCATTTTTGACCTTCAGAGCATGCCCATCTCTGTGCTTTTCAAGGATGCTGACTCTCAACACTTTTAAAAGGAAATGTATTACAGGTCTTCTCAGGTGCCAAGTTAGGGACTAGTTTACAATTTGAAACTTATCTTCCTAATGTTTTGAAATATTTTCTCTAAATTATACCTAGGAATTTGGGGCATCTCAATTTAAAGCAGCATGACACTTTGGAGTCCATATTTTAAGTAACTGATTAAACATTTAGAGGTGCTCCCAGCTGCTTGAGTTAGCTGGAACATTAAATCCAAAAGCTCTGTCAAATGCACAATAAATTCTGTGCAATCTTAAATTAGGTTTCCTCTTCTCTAATCTAGGAGACACACTAAATATCCATTCGTGCCATTAAATCCCTAGGCATTAAACAATACAAATAACAAAATATTGAAATTGTTTTGGTGCAAAAAAACTTTCTTCCAAGTGTGATGTGCTGATGTGCCTCATGCATGTGCAGTTACTCTAATTACAGGTTTGGAGATGAAGGGGGTTGGTATGATGGGCAGAGTCAGTTTCTTGGGCTTATAACTAGTGCAGCCACACGGAACCTCCTGTTCATAAGGGTCTCACAATTTTTTTCATGCTTTATTGTCACTACCTCAAAGTTCTTTTTAACAATAGGCCCTGAGTTGTCATTTTGCACGGGGGTTCTACATATTTTGCAGTTAGTTCTGAGGGTGGGGCACCAAAAGATCTGGGCTCTTTATGCATATACTATCTCAGGCAAGATTATTACATGGTCCTTAAGCAAGGTTGGGTCAACTTGATCAGAGAAGGAAGGAATTGCTACTTCTGCTAGCAGGAGAAGCCCAGTAGGGTTTATGAGTTTATAGTCATCAGACTTCATTAAGATTTTTGGAATCCTCCTCATTCCTAATTAGTTTAGAGATTTTGTATGAGTTCTGGTAAAGCTATGACTTCAATCTCAATTACTCCACATCTGATTTTTGGCTATGTTGACATTTTGATTAATTACATGGAACTTTCTGGGGATTTTGTAATGGCTTAGATCAAGAACTTAAAAATATAAGCCTATTTGTTCTGTTTAATTCTGTGGTACAGTTAGAAGAAACCATTCAACCTCATGGTCCTTGTATTTCTCATCCTAAAAATGGTTTATCAGAGCAGCAATACAATCTACCGAAGCCCTGCCTTTAGTAGATATTTCTCTCAGGAAACCCAGGGGGCAATTTATATAAATATTTCGCCATTGTGTGCCATGAACTTTTAGCATTCCATGCTCTAAAACCATCCAGAGCTGATTATTTTCTAAGCCTATCAAGTTACAAAACCCATTCTAGATTCTAATTGTTATTTGCAACAATTTCTGATTCTAATTAATGAATCACTAGTGACACCACCTGAAATAACAATGATTTTAGGACAGAGGTTTTTGGCTCATAGATCCTACAGCCTGGAGGTAAGCATTTCAAGGATGGTCAGGTAGCTCCACATTGTTATTGAGGACCTAGCCTTTATCTTTCTTCTTTATCATATGTAGTATATGGTTCCTACCCACAAGTTGCTTCATGTCACAATGTGCCTGTTAGTACTCTAGCCATAGTATACAAGTTCCAGGAAAGAGGGGCAAAAAAAGGAAAGGCAGCTACATAAGCACATTTTAGAGGGTTTTCCTGGAAGCTCTCTCTACCCAGTTAGTCTCCTTATATCTATTGATCAACCAGTGAAAGGCTCAGAAATGTAGGATGGGAAACCTGCTCTATAATTGGGCATATTGCCATCCTAGACAACGTAGGTTTTTATTTTATTTTACTTTATTTAGTTGTAGATAGACACAATGCCCTTATTTTACTTATTTGTTTGTTTGTTTGTTTGTTTATTTATATATGGTGCTGAGGACCAAACCCATATGCTAGGCAAGCGCTCTGCCACTGTGCCACAATCCCAGACCCATAGGGTTTTGTTAGTAAAAACGAACAGAGAGTACATACTAGGAAGCAACTTTTTTCCCAAAATGCTAAGGCATTTTCTAGGTCTGCTTTGATAGATTATATCAAATATGATTGCCATTAGCCTTATGTGATTGCATAAATTTAAGCTACTAAAAATTAAACTAAGTAAAAATATACACATAGACATTTTATTATTGGTGTTTTTGTTGTTATAATTGGATAAATTAAGAATTGGATGGGAGAGGTGAGTAGAAATGTAAAAGAGGAAATAAGAGGGTTTCAGTAACAAGTGGTGAATCAGGTCAAATGCTTCGGATTCATTTAGTTTGATAAGATCAGGGAGAAAATGGCTTTGGCAATCTGAGCCCTTGAGAGCAGCAGCAGAACTAACAGTGAGTTCCACCAGGCTCAGGAGCACACTGGGAAGTGAGAAAATGGACGTCAGTAACTGCAGATGACTCCTTTAAATTCCTTCATAAATTAAAGGTAAGATCCAAGGTGATGACCTCAGGAGTCAGGGCATGGGTGACTGTTCTCTGCTTATGGCTGGTGTATTTCTGGACTTTCTCTTGGGATAAGTATCTCTAAGAATGCTGAAGGATAAGGAAAGGAGTCCCTAAAAGGAAAAAATAGGGGAATACTGGAGCCAGGTGTTGTTTGTTCATCTTCTGTTCCTCAGGTACAACAAAATACCCAAGATTCAGTAATTTATAAAGAATAGAATTTTTTGGCTCACAGTTCCAGATGCTAGGAAGCCCCAGAGCATGGTGCGTCTGCTCAGCATCTGGTGAGGGCCTCGTGGTGCATCACAACATGGCAGAAGGCAAGGCTGCTAGCTTACATCTTCTGCTTCTTATAAAGCCACTAACGCCATCATAGGGTTCCCACTGTCATGAGCTTCGAAACCTTATTACATCCCAAAGGCTCCAACTCCAAATACTATCAACATTGAAATTTGAAAAATATTTCCAGCTTGTGAACTTTTAGGGGACACATTCAAACCAAAGCCCCAAGTTTTGAGGAGAACAAAACAAACTCATGAGAAAGACAGGTCCTTCTTTCGGCCTGGATGTATGTGGTCAGTGGGACGTGCCTTCTTTGACATGGTGGGGAGGAGAGGAGGAGGAATCAAAATAGACAAGTGTGATCAGGCCAGGGAGTCAAGGGAACATATTTCTAATGGGCTCTATTGTCTTGGAAAATTTGGAAAGGCAATTCACTATTGTGTGTGAAAGCAAAGGAGGTGGCTCAGGCATAAAGAAAATGAAAAAAAAATCTGATGAATAGAAAAGAAACCGAGACTCAGGTAAAAATTGACAAGAAAATTATATGGAATCCTACCAGATACTCTTATTCTGACACACACTGTGTCTTTCTGGTGTATGTTAATAATAACAATTATCTAAGTAACATCTATTGAAGGCTTCAGAGTGTCAGGCACTGTGTTACAGGTTTCATGTGATCATCTCGATCCTCCTCTCAGCCTTTGGGCTGAGGAATGATGATTTACCCCACTTTACAGATGAGCAGGTACAGAGAGAAATGAAGGTGGAGTGGAGTCCTAGCCTCGCCACCTGTATACCTGTGAACCTTGGGCAGTTTACTTAGTTTCTCCAAGTCTCAGATTTCTCTTGGTGAATTGGGTTGGAATCCTTATTTTTTAAATTTGTTCATTATAATTATATATAATAGTGAGATTTGTTGTTACATATTCATGCATGCATATATATATAAAACATAATTTGGTCAATTCATTTCCCAGTGTGGGATCTCTATTTTATTAAGATCATGAGGTCTAGTAAGATAATTGGTGAGAAAGAAACCAATGCATGGCGGGTACTTGATTTTTAAAAATCTTAATAGAATATGAATTGCTACTGAGTTGACTTTGATGCAAAGTCCTTATGATTTTCTTTTTCTTTTTTTCTTTTTATTTTTTGGTACTGGGGATTGAACTTGCGGACTCACACATGCTAGGCAAGTGTTCAATCAATGCGTTATACACCCAGACCTTTATTTTTAACTTCTAGTTTTTGAGACAGGGTCTTGATAAGTTGCCTAGGCTGTCCTTGAACTTGTAATTCTCCTGCTTCAGCCTCCTGAGACCTGGGATTACATGCTTGTGTCACCACACTCATGTTCTTTCTTCCCAATGCAAGACAGACGTGCCTGCCACCACAAAAGTGAGGCTCCTTGTAATTTCTGCTACCAGGCAGGTTTCAGAAATGGGCAATGCTTTTGTTAAAAACAAGTCCTTTTTTAAATGTAGGCTGCATTATTAGCAGCTGCACACTCATTCCTCCAAAGACACTCACATTCCCACACACAGTAGAGGCCCCAAAAAGCTCATCCCATGCTAGCTGTGGTCCACAGACTGTCAACTTGTGACTCCTGGGTTTAAAGATTTGAGATTTTACCTGCCTCTTTCTTCAGTGTGATCTTAGAGAAGTCACTTGGCCTCCAGGTGCCTAAAAAAAGAAACTAAACAATGGCCTGCATCTCAGAGAAGGTGCTAGGACAGGCTGGCTAAAGTGTGTCAAGTTCTGAGTATTCTTGCAGTCAGCATTTCATGAAGCATAAAAGAATTCCTATTAGTATAATTCACAGGTGGCAAGAACGGGTGAGATGACCCGGGAGAAGGTAAAAGGGACCTGGGGAGTCTCCTTTGGCAAGAGACTGCAGTATGTTTCTGAAGACACTGATTAATGACACTGTTTGTCCCCATGAGGAGCAAGCATGATACACTGCTTTTCTGCAGGTGGATTGAGAGATGGGAACCCAGGGAGAGACAGGGTTAGGCTGTGTCCAGATGGGGACAGTACAGCAGGCTTGAACTCAGTCTCCAGAGTGCCCCAGGTGTAATTCACAGGCACTTTCCCCACAGGATAGAAATCACTTTTCCAGGCCAAAGCTGGAAATCCTGAAATTTCCCTGGCCCCAAAGAAACACTCATTGCCTCATTATTGTGGTTTACATCACTGCTCGTTATTTATTGGAAAAGCAGAACATAAGGCATCTGTAGGGATCCAGCTCCACAGTTCTCTAAGCCCTGGCTGTAAGTCACCTCTAGGCTTACCATTCCCTTGAGTAGGAGCAAAACTGCTTTAATGAAATGTCCCCAGGTTGAATAAACTAGAAAATGCATCTTGTGATGCAGCATAATAAGAAGAATACAACTAACAAATTGGTGGCAGAAGCTTGGCAGTTGAGTGCCCCTGGGCAAAAGCTCCCATCCTATCTCCCCCTGGGGCAGCATCCTGACACCAAGACTTAAGTGACACAAGGTTCACATTCCTAGACTAGCTGCAATAGCAAGAAGCACTTGGCTTTCCTAACAGTAGAAAAGTGGAACTCTAAGAGTGATTGCAGTTTCTAATGGAGAAGGTGGTATCAGGAGCCCCAGAGTGCCCAGGGTGGTCTCTGGATGGCAGACCTTGATATGGGCCAACAGCTTCTTTTGGTGAAACAGCAGGAAAGGACACTTGGTTTGTAGGGCCACAATTGGAAGATAAACAAGAGCTGATCATTCAGCTGACTTACTAACACAGCTGGGGTTTGATCAAATGTGCTTAAGTGATTAGTGAATGCTCTTTTTTTTTCTTCTTGTATTGCTTTAAAAGTTTTCTTTCCAAAGAAGTGCTTTGATTGTTTAAGGAACTAGTATAAACACAAGTGCACTAATGTGCAACTATTTTTACCAGGGCATAGACATGCCTCTCCCTTGTTGTTGTTGTTGGGGGTGAGGGGTGTAAATTTTCAGAAAGAAGCAGAAATTGGAATGCCTGCAGAAAGCCCTTTGAGAGCCTGTTTGGGAATGAGGTAAGGTTGCCCGATCTCAATAGGTGAAGAGGTGTCTTTGCAGAACAGTTCACAGTGTATTGGGGCAGCTCACTCGAAACTCAGAGACATTAGAAGCAATTACTGAGCAAACAAGAGGTTGGAAATTCAGTGGCCAAGCTAAATTCCAATTTGGGAGTGCAGTCGGATGGAACACGTGGGCCCATAAAGGCAATTGCCCTCTGGAGTCAAGTAATCTGTAGGTATTATCATCAATCCCGCGGAGCTGGTGTTGGGTATCAGGTATAATTCATCTTGTTTAATCACCTGCTACCCCACTCTGGACTCAAGTCCCTGACCTGTGATGAGCTCATTAACTAATAAGCTGCCTCAGCTGCCCGCAGAATGTTGCCCAGAGCAGGGATGCCCTGCACATTTGCGATTAGGCATCCTATTTCCAAAGATGGGGACAAGGGGGCATCAGAAGCTTCCAGGACTTGCTTTAGATCCCTCCTTGGCACTCATGCTTGTCCTGGATCTGGGAGCTGACTCTCTTCTGAAATAAAGACTGAACCCCTTGATGCTTTCTACACTGAGATTTTAAAATGTTTTCTCCCTACCCCGGGCACTTTCCAGACTGCCTCCATCCAAGAAGCTGAGGTCAGATTCTGGGGCAGCACATAGTCCCTGAGGATTCTGCTGCCTCTCGACTTCAGACACCATATTTGGGGTCACGCCAGCACGTAGGTTCTCATGCTAGGGCCAGCACCCCAGGGGAAAGCAAGAATGGACGCTTTATCCAGTTAGACCCTACCGAATGCATAACAGAACATCTCCTACAAGGTTTGAAATAGGTGCATGTACAAAAGCCGCGTCATCCCTAATTCCCACCGGGAAAGGCAGGGCCCCCACAGCCCTCTGCGCCCGGCTATCCCCGCAGGTAGGGGGCGCGCGCGGGCTCCCGCCCCAGGGCGTTGATGTGCGGCAGCGTGCCCGCCACTGCCGCCAGCTTCTCGCTGAGTTTCTGGTTCACCAGCTCCAGGTGGCGACCGTTCTTCCTCGCCTGCCGCAAAGACCTCTTGACCTTCTTCACCCGCTCGCGGAGCTGCCTGTTCCGCTTCTCCAGCGTGGCCACCTTCTGCTGCAGCTTCTTGACATGGTCCTCCTCCTCAAACAGCGCCTTCTGCACCGAGGAGCACATGAGCTGGGGACAGAAAGACCACGGAGGAGAGGCAGGTGAGTCTCGAGCTTCCCAGGGTGCTGCTAAGAGCCCAGCAAACAGCACAGCCCCCATAACCGCACCCTCTCATGAGAACAAACAGGGTGATGGCTTTGACGGTGATCTTGCCCTCCACCCGGTGAGTCCTGCCCTCAACCTAAAATACAAAACCCTGCCTTTGCTTTCTGTATTTGGCTTCCTTGAAGAATTTTAAAGAGAGATTCTAAATAGTATCAGAGCAAAAAGGAAAGCTCTCCTGGGACTCAAAAGACCAAAGCCCTAAACAGGAAAGCTCAGAATTTGGATAGTTCACGGGAAAGAACACATAACTGTCATTTAAACCGCTGAAAAGACACATGTGCAAACGGTCACATGTACAAACATTACAGTATTGTTATTTAAAAGTAATCTATCATGCCCACTCAGAGAGGACCAGCTCAAATTATAGTAAACCTTTATGTAGTGGAAAAATTTGACTCTTTCAAAGAATAAGGCAGCTTCTTATGCATGCTTGGTGGCAGTGTGTTAAGTTTTGGTGTTAATATAAAAAGCCTGGTGCAGAACAGTGTAGATGATGTGATATCTGATATCCGTATGTATCTATACTTAAATATACACTATCCCTGAGAGAATATACAGGAAACTGTATCCAGGGAGGAGTGGGGACAGGGGGGAGAAATATTTTCACTGTGTACTCTTGTACTTTTTGAATTTTATGCTATATACTAATGTTACACACAGAGGTTTTCTCTCCTCTGGCTTCTTCTCCACCCGTTTTATATCATCAAGAGCTATAATCTCAAAGCCTTGACTTTGCTTAGAATTGGGGAGTCCTCCTTATCTGCAGGTTCTGTATCTGTGGATTCCTCATCTCTGTGGCAATCAACCACAGTTCAAGAATATGTGGCAGGAAACAAATTCAGAAAGTTTCGAAAAGCAATACTTGAATTTGCTGCATGCTGAGTGCTACCTTAAACCCACACAGGTGATGTGTAGGCATACCCAGCTGTACCTCCGTCTCTCTAAAACACTGGAGTGTTTGCCTTGTGTCTTGTTTGTGTACCGTGGAGTTAGGCCTATGATGGTTTGCACCTGTGCCGCACGTGTATCGACTTTTATCATTATTCCCAGAGCAATATACTAGAACAACTATTTACATGGCATTTACATTGTATTAGGTATTATGAGTAATCTAGAGATGGTGAAAGTATGCAGGAGACTGCCATTTTATGCAAGGGACTTGCACATTTGCAGATTTGGATATCCAAGGTGGGGGTCCTGGAATGGATCCTATGTGGATATTGAGGGAGCGCTGTATTCTTCAGGCCCCACCGCCTACCCTGCAATATGGTATGAGGTTAAAAGTGTAAACTGGTCTGGGCATGGTAGCGCACACCTGTAATCCTAGCAGCTCGGTAGGCTGAGACCAGAGGATCGTGAGTTCAAAGCCAGCTTCAGCACAAGTGAAGCACTAAGCAACTCAGTGAGACCCTGTCTCTAAATAAAATACAAAATAGGGCTGGGGAAGTGGCTCAGTGGGCAAAGGTCCCTGAGTTCAGTCCCCGGTTAACCCCTCCCCCAAAAATGTGGACTGGGTCAGGCTGCCGTGATTTAAGGCCTCCTCTACTGCTTCTGAGTGGTGTGGCCTCGGGCATACAGCTTTTTGGAGGGGGCCAGGGGGCTGCAAATTGAATAAGCTACATTTCCACTCCCTTTTAAATTTTTGAAACAGCTCCCTAAGCTGCTAAGGCTGGCCTCAAACTTGTAATCCTCCTGTCCCAGCCTGCAGAGTCACTGGGACTATAGGCATGTATCGCTGCAACAAACAGGACAAACTTCTTAAGCTCAGGGTAGTACACTCTGTGCTGCATCAGCCACACGGGCTTTGGGACAGAAAGATTTGTTCCCCCAGTTTCTTATACTCAGCTGAGTCTCTTTCCAGAACCTGCACCTGACTCAAGAGAGCTGCCAAAGATCACACCCCCTCCAGAGAGGCACCTGTATCCAATGACCAGCTAACCCAAGGGCAGGAAAACCAGAGCTGCTCATTCAAACTTGGACCATCTCTGAAGGACTATCTCAGTCTCAGAGCATCCCATGGGGGTAAGCTGGCCCTTACTGAAGTTGACATTGCAGGCCAGCCTCTCCTTCTGCCCACTCCTGCTTTCTCTCCTGCCATACCTCCCCAAGTGTGTCCTTTAACCCTGGGGACATTCTCTGAAAGCTTCCTTCACACTCAGTCTCCTTCTGCACACTCAGTCTCCTTCTCAGGGAACTTGACTGGCAACCCTTGGAGTCCTCATGTGTACCAAGGGATAATCATGGTTTTGGAGGACTGAATGGGTTTGACCTGAAAAGTGTTCCAAACCATCCTCTGTCAGTCACTGTTACAGAATAAAGTCCCTTAAAAGTCCTAACTTTTGTGATTGCACGTGGCCTACAGCTCTAGTCTTATTGTTCCTCTTTCTGTGTCACACACTTTATTCACAAAAACAAACAGGCTCCTGGTTGTTCCCTCCTGCATATTTTGGGGGCCTCTGCCACAGTCTTTCTTCTGCCTGGAGTGCTAGTACCCCCACCCCAGCCCTGTCTGGCAATCTTAGAAGCAGTCTGTAGGCCCACTTTGCCATGCCTCCCACAGTGTCCCCCACTGTATGTAGCACATCCCCCTGTGGGGGTCTATTAGCACCCTACATTTATTTATGCTCGGGGCAGAAGTCTCCACACCCTTGATGGATCACAAACTCTTTACGACCCAGTTCATGTCGGTCTTTGTAGTTTTGTTTCCCTGGATGTTAGAGGTGTATGATAAAAATCTGAGCCAAGTGACATTTTCTTAAAATACCTCCTATTTAATCAAGAGCTTTGGGCTCCTGTCACCATTATAGGGGAGACCACATGTGCAACACTGCCCTCCTCTGGCCAGAATGAGACCCCTTAAAAAGAGAAGCAGGGTACAGGAAATTCTTGGGACAAATCATTATTTCTATTGTGTATGCAGAGGTATCTCTATACCTTAGGGTTCAATATCCCCAAGTGACTAGGATAAGCACTTTGTATCCACTCTCATTTTCATGGTCTTTCTATAAGTTATGGCAGATTCTTTTAAAAAATTTTTTTTTAAATTTGTAGTTGGACACAATACCTTTATTTTATTTATTTGTTTTTATGTGGTGCTGAGGATCGAACCCAGGGCCTCATCTGAGCTGGGCAAGTGCTCTACTGCTGAGCGATAGCCCCAGCCCCGTGGCAGATTCGTAAACCAAGAATAGGGTAAAGGAGGATAAGCAAAATCTAAAACAAGAGGACAGGATTTTTACTTGACTCCTTGGATAGAATCCAATAGTGTTTCTGGAATGTAACATCCAAGAGAAATTGAAGGCATGGTTTTATGACATTCTTTAGAAGCTACATCTTAAAACACAAACAGTGGAATGGTGAGGCTGGAGAGAGTACTTGTGAACAGAGCTCTTGCTAAGATACTGATACTCTTTGTAGGCATCCCCTTGGCCCCAGGGCCAGCCATTCCCTACTCTAGAGAAAGTGGTACAGCAGGAGAAACCTCGCATCCCAGCAGCACTAACCAGCCAAGAGCAACCTGATGATCACTATGATCACCTGAACAACTCAAGAGGGAAGAGAGGAACGCCTTGACATTTGTGGATGTGCGCAGGTGGGGGTGGGTATCATTGAGATGGAAATCAGTAATTGTGAGCTAAGTGTGGGAAGAATGGATGGGATGACTGAGTTCCTTAGTGAAAGTCATCCTGTGATCCATGCAACCTCTCTTTAGCATGAGTAGGAGCAAAAAGCCATCGGAGTAACTCATAATTATCCAATATTACTAATAACACCAACCATGACCTAGGCTTCCTTATGAAGCTGAAGGTCTCTATCTCAGTAGCAAAGAGGACTCTGTCTCCAGGAAGTAGGCTAATAGGAACTTAGGCAATGCCTAAAATAATGGAGCTCCAGCCAAAGGTATGTAAAGGAGACCTCCTGAATCCTGGCCATCACCCCCAAAGAGAATTCCATCTTTCTGATTAAAAATGCAAGAACTTCTAGAGGAAAGCTATGCTTTCAAATATGTGTGTTTCTTTAAGAAACTTCTCTTTCTCTGGAATTCTTTCCAAATGAAATCAATCTCTTAAAAACTGCTGTGTTAAAAAAAATGCTATATACTCATTTATCTTTGTGGAATTTTTTTTGGTAAATTAAGATGAGGAGAGGAAAGGCCAGATTAGGCTGAAACAGGTTCTACTGCATTTTCTTTGAAGAAGGCCAAAGGAAAACAATCTTATAGGGCAGCCCCTAAGCCACAGATTCCTGCCACACAGCCCTTCCTCCACCTCATCCCACCACTTCCGATGGCTGAGGCTGAGGAATCATTTGGCTGCCAGATGCCAGATGCTGAAGCACCTCCAACATTCTCCTGGTTCTCCTCAGGCACAGTGTGTCTCTGGAAGTTTCCAAGTGGTGACAGGACACCTGCTGCGGGGCAGATGGAAAGACTGCCGCAGGGGAGCCTGCTCTTTTACTTTCAACAAGACAAAAGTGAGGCTGGAATATCTATTCTTCCTCATCTTTTAAAAATAACACGTTTTAAAGCTATAAAAGCAACATGCTGATAAATAGAAAAACTTTTTTAAAGATCAAAAAAAAAAATTAAAACCATCTGTAGTTCTATTGCAGAAAGATAGCCTCTGCTGACATTTGAATGTTTTCCTAGTTTGCTTCTATGGGCATAGCTAAGGATTTTAAACAAAATTGGAATGTTGCCACTATTGAATGTTCCAAGTTTTTTCCCCTTGATGCTTTATCATGACTATTTTCCAAACACTGGTTTGCACACTTCTTACATTGAAGCATTCAAAGGAGGGAGCATACAGTAGTTCCTCCTTACCACCATGACCTGCAGGTTCATGAATCATTAGTTGTCATTTCTCCTCTATCCTCATGCCCACAGGCTGAGGGACAGGCTATGG